ACGCTCATAGATGGCGCTATCGATCTATATTCATTGCCCACTCTGCCACAAGTTAGCGCACAATATTAATCAGAAATACAAACCCCGATGACGGATTTGTCATAAAGGGATGCTACACCTAACCGGTTGCAATTCCGAAATCATTAATTCTGGTCTAAGCAGCTCTTAATCCAATTTAATTTAACCTAGTTGCACGTGTTACACGCACGCACGCACCCGCATTTCATTCAATTATTTCGACAAGTAGGTCTACTTCCGTAGATAAAATAGTACGATCGTTCAAGCCATCTCTATATCGTATAATAATAGAAAAATGTCAGGATATTTTATTTCTACAGTCGTTAACGATTTAACTAGCAACTATACACCCAACAAGTGGTTTGATTGTATTATCAAATCTTTGCTGTACCGGTATCCTGAGTACGTGTGTGTTTTGTCGGGATGGAGCGCGTAGCCTTAATCCCATCACATCGAAACCGGCTGCGCTGCTATTTTCGCGGTTATTAAACCATAAATGAGGAACGACAACTGGAGAATCTATGCCTGACCCCAATTAACTGACACAGCTAATAGATCTTACGTTGTGTGATCGTTACCGGAGTTTATATAAAGCATTGCATTATACCATAGCAACGATTTTATGCGCCCACAGCACTAGCGGCCTACGCAAGTTAAGTCAACATGATTATATCAGGAGTGTATAATAATAATAATAGTGTATAGTGTATAATAATAGTAATAGTGTATAGTGTATAATAATAGTAATAGTGTATAATAATAGTAATAGTGTATAGTGTATAATAATAGTAATAGTGTATAGTGTATAATAATAGTAATAGTGTATAGTGTATAATAATAGTAATAGTGTATAATGTATAATAAAAGTAATAGTGTATAGTGTACTGTATTATAATAGTGTATAATATCTAGTATTATACACTGCTGATTATAATTCGTGCAGGTGCTCAAGGCGGACGTACGCACCAGCTTGCCCCTCTACACCCCCCCCCCCCTCTCCTCTGCTGCTCGCTTTCCCGACACGGCGCCGTCACGGTTGCTAGCTCCCCCTAGCAGTGTGTCTGCTTAGTGGAGCGATGCTAGCTGTAACCACACGCATGCTCGGCTAGGCATGTCACCACCGCTGACCCCGTGCTCTGGAAACAAACAACCTGGCGTTACGTGTATATAGTGGCATCGTTGTAACCCTGTAAGCATTCTCCCGGCACCGACCGCCGTTGTTGTGTCACTGTGTCTCCGAACGACTATATGCACGCCTATTCCCCATTGGCGTTGCGATGTGCTAGCGTTGTGTCGCGCTATCTGTTGCTGCGGTAACAACCGTGTCAAAATCTATACAGTTGGCATGTGAGATCGAACCTGTAAGCGACAAGCTGCTGCCCGCTGTGCGTGTGTTTGTGTTTGCTCTCTGATGCCTAGGGCTCATGACGTACGTACGGCGATAGACTTACCTGCGAGCATACCTGGCGTGGCTATATACCTGTGGCTATAATAATCCTATATACACATACCTGACATGCGTCGCAGAACTGGGGCGGAATAGTGATGACAGCGGTAAGATATCATTTAACTTAATCTTCTGACTGTGCCTTGGTTGTGGAACAGAGAGATAGCACTATATATATAGAGAGATTGGCCGAGAAAGAAAGAGAAAGAGTGTACGTGTGAGAGAGCGCGGAAGAGAGCAAGGGAGCAAGCACTACGGAAGGAGCTCCCAAACTACCATTGATCTAGAGAGAGAGGGGGTCAAAGAAGAGATAGAATATATGCGTGAGAAGCGGAAGCGAGAATGGTATAGAGCGAGGGGAGGAAGCGGGAATGCGAGAGAGAAGGGGAGAGAGAGCACGGGAGCAGGGGGGGATAGGAAGAGGGAACAAGAGCGGGAGAAAGAGAATGGAGTGAGAGAGCGGGAGAGCAAAGGAGGGGGAGGGAGAGAGGGATCGAGGAGGGGGAGGGAGAGAGGGAGGAGTGCATGGAGCGGAAGACCGAATGCGCGAGAGAGAGGGAGTTAGTCTTTAATGCGCGTACGGCACGCACAGGAAATTCCCGATCACGCATTCGAGCCCCCACCCCCTTCCCTTAGCATGTGTGATTAATTTTAGAAATTAAGAAATTATACATGTTTGTAAAATTCCGCATTACAGATATATCAGGCTATATATCTGTCAAATCCAATATATGTCGACGATAGCACTACACACACGCACACGGACACGCACGCGCACACACACACACACACACACACACACACACACACACACACACACACACACACACACACACACACACACACACACACACACACACACACACACACATATATATAATATCAGGAGCGTATAATGACAAATATACAGGAGCGTATAATGTCATTATACGCTCCTGATAATATATATATATATACATATTATATTATACATTCCTGATCTACTGCTAGGTCGATGCTAGCGAGAGCACATACAGCATGATTCATTCACACTTGCGTATTTTTGTTGTGCAGGTGTGACTACCCACCATCAGCAGGTGCACACGCACTCGAGTGCGAATAGACGCAGCGCAGCTCAGCGATACCTCGCCCACGACGCAGCTGTGCCGCTGATCGTCTATGCATAACCGTTTCCTGGCGTTCAAGCGAGACCCAGCATTACAGCTACTGCGACTTTTCACCGAAAGAGCCCCAATTTAGGTGTATTATCCGCGACAGGTCGCGGTGGCGCGTACCAGCGAGAGAAAAGCAAATTCGCTTGTGAGAAGACTCCATTGTAGACGGCAGTTCATGCGCGCACACACGGAGAGAGACACAAACACTCGCGCTCACACAGAGATCGAATCTCGAGTGGCTCGACCCGTGCGTCTATAGGTACAAACTACGAGGTTCTCAGTGGGTTTTACTTTGTTCCGCACGCGCGGTGACGTGCCTAGCATGGCGGACTCCCAAGTCACGATCGACGCCGCATCGCGTGGTTCCGCTGGCAATGAGAAGAAAGACAATTCGCCGCTAAAACTATTAAAGAAGCTTGCATTGAAAGAGAAGGAGACGAGCAAGAAGACAGTGCCCGACGAGGAGAACGCTGTTGTCGTGAAAAAACCAACGCGTCCGCTCCCGCCGGAAGTGATGGTCGACTCACTTCCGCAGCTTTTCCACGTTCGCTATCTCGGCTGGCGACCGACGCAGGGACTATGGGGCGTCGGCCACACACGCAAACCTGTCGACGAACTCATCGACGCTACGCGCAAACACAAGGAGGGCGATACGCTACCCGAACTCCAGCTGCACGTCTCGGATAAGGGCGTGCACTCGACGGAGGTCCCCGAAAACAGGAACAAAAACTTCGCGAGCGGCCTCCGTTGCATCGACTCGATATCGTACGGTGTGCAGGATGTCCGATACACGCGCGTGTTCGCCATGATCGTAGTGCGGACTGACAGCGGCACGGAGCCGAAGTTTGAGTGTCACGCGTACGTGTGTTCGAGTCGAGCCAGTGCTCGTCGCCTGGCCTTCTCTCTGGCGTTGGCGTTCAAGGAGTTCGGCAAACAGTGCGCTAGTAAGAAGTCCAGTAGAGTTACGAAGAAGTTTGCCATCGATCTGCGCTCTCCGGAGGAGATTGAGAACGATATGGCGGCCAATCAAGAGCTGGATTCAGAAGCTTGATGTATAGCTCTGTGATATGCTGCCAACATTATTTAAGAAATAACATTAAAAATGATTAATCTTCCTATATGTATGAGCTCCCGGGTGAATATGAAGTACATTCGTATTTAGCAGGATATATTCAAGAGCGTATAAAGAAGGATATCTATCCTTCTTTATCTGCTCTTGATATATTCTAATAAATGTACACTTTTTACACCCTCACAAGCAAATCCTATTTTGTATAATAATTAAGCGCTATCGCCAATAGGTATTGATTCATTTATATTGCACGCAATAGTGTTTTGTGTACTGCATGGGTGTGTTCTAATTCAAATATGAAAGCGAGTGAAAAGGGTATGTGGAACATAATGCTTCATTCTTAACGGTAATCGCTATGAGGGAACGTGAGATGGGTCATGAATCAAAGAAGGTTGATCCAAAGAAAGGTATGATTCAAAGAAGGTTGTTTGATTACAAACCTCGGTGATGTCATTTGTAATTAATCTACTGTTACGAGTCGTTATTCGTTTCAGGCATGCTCGTGCAGCATATAGTTTAGAACTTTCCTTTGATCCTGCCGATTACATTTACTGTAAACATTTTATTATGTAAGCGTACATAATGTTATTAGAGCTCTGTTCACTAATTCGCAGTGATACAATGTAAAACTTTCAACATAATAATTACGCGTATGGACAAACCCGAATTCAAATGCCTAATGTCTAATTTAACCATAGCTATATAATATAATGAGAGAGAGAGAGAGAGAGGAGAGAGAGAGAGAAAGAGAGAGGAGAGAGAGAGAGAGAGAGAGAGAGAGAGAGAAAGAGAGAGAGAAAGAGAGAGAGAGAGAGAGAGAGAGAGAGAGAGAGAGAAAGAGAGAGAGAGAGAGAGAGGAGAGAGAGAGAGAGAGAGAGAGAGAGAAGAGAGAGAGAGAGAGAGAGAGAGAGAGAGACAGCCCCATGTGCTTGTTATCCTTGCGTTATACTTGGCATATATGGTGCATTCGGCTTCATTCTAATCTTGTGAATCCTACGAAATAATCCAAGTTGCAAGGTCTGTATCTAGTTATCTGTGTCTTACATGAGGCTCCCCGATGACGTCTATTTAACTCCGGTTTCTTATAGGCGAGCGAGTAAGTTGTATATCATATGCCATGCGACCAAACCGTATATATGTGACGTGACAAGTCTTGAAGTGAGTATCACTTACGTCCTGCATCAGTCAAGCTATATGTAATTTGTTATTTAAGGTTTAATTGTATGCATAATTGAAGCATATATGAACTGATAGACTACTCATTATACTTGTATTGTATATGTTACAATCAGGAGTCTATCAATACAATTTAATACAAAATACCTGTTACAATGAGATATAAAGAGTTCAAACATAAAAAATAAAGTTGATGAAATACATATGTACGCCTGTAAATTTACAGCCTTTATGTGGGCATTTTAATTAAATGTCATTTTAGACCACTAATTATTATTTTAGCGATGTCGTCTTCCTACATATTCTGCCAATGACATATATCGCCCTATGGTTCTATATATTGTACGTATGTTGCGTATATCGTATAAGTGCGTAGATAACGTGCATTATAATATAACATGATTGAAATAGCATGCACGCAATATTTATCAACATCGATGTATAGACATGTGGAAATTTTATTGCGTATCGTCATAAATATGTACACTACACAATGCTGTTTTGATTACAATGTTGAAACTCGTGTATGCATTATGTTCTTAGGTGTATAGTCTATATTATACACTCCTGATATGTTCGCACATACTAACACATATAGGCACTACTAGCACATAAATGTGATGAATCGTCATTTAACGCCCATTCTCCGCCGCACAGTTTATAACGAGGATCCTTCATAAATTACATATCATCAAGATATATATGAGCAGCATCTAAATCAGCTTTTGGTATATATGCTCTGGCACTATTATATACTATAAAGAGGTCATCGCGGTCGTACGGCGGTAACAGGTGTAGCCGTCCCCTAGCTGGTATAGTGGGTTTAATTTGAATCACCGGATGTGCTTTGCGCAGTGTCAATATGGCGGTGTGTGTAAGCCAGGTAACCCAGGTAAACCCGGTAAGCTTAATAACAAGCCAGGTCAGATGCAGCTGGCGGAATAACAAAGTCGACCATGCATCCCTCGTCGTGATCTCTAGGGGGGGGGGAATCGAGTAACCCCGAGACTTTCGAGAAATTTGTAGGTCACGAACTTCTGCTGCCCCCGCCAAGGAAGTTGTTCAGGTTACGGACCTATTATTCCAGCGTGATTAATGATTATGATTATGATTATGATTATGCGCATAATTATGAGACGCCCAATCTTCCCGAATTCTCATATATTGTAGCATATCGTTTGATCTGCGATAGGGCAGGCCAGCTTCAGCCAAATATTTTATTTCATTGAAATCAATCATGTAGGGCCTATACATAAGATGCAGAGAACGCGTATTTTAATAAAAAAATATTCCAATGTCGCACATTGATAATTATAAGAGCGCCAGTTCTCCCTGAATTTTCGTATCGATAATTTTTCGATTATAAATTTCCCGTAGGGAGTTTATAAGGTATACGAACTTCCCTAATTTTTCCGCCTGCTGTACCGTGACATGGTTCATTGTTATTAGGAGTCGCAGCTAGGTCGCCAAACGGTTATCCGGGAGGGAGAGGGTCGAGAAAATTAATGTTTGCGCTGAGCAAAGATTTTTTAGTCTCCGGCAACAGTCATGTTATACACGCTCTTGACTGCATACTGTAATTTTAAGAGTACATACCCAACAGTAGCTTGCAATGAAAATTTTCTGCCTGACTAAATCTCCCATTACTGATTAGTCGTACCAACTTTTCCTGCAGCGTAGTGAGAGATATGCGCGCGCTTTCCCAGTATCTGCTATATTAAATAGTATTGGGTTGAAATTATACTTCAAAGAGCCATACCCATATCGTCGCCGCAGCTTGACATGTAAAAATGCATCCACAAGTCTCACTTTAATGATTCTTAGTGAAAAATATCATGAATAACCATCCGTGAAACCATCGAGCGTGCAATTCACTAAGAAATGCTCAGGCTATGGCCCCTGCGGTTTATATTGGCCTTGCGTTTCTAAACTCAGTATGCAGAGGGCCCTGGTAACATAGTATTAATTTTATTCAAGCATTTGCTAGGTAAACATTTTTATACGGAGGTGTATACACACATTTCGTCACTGCTTTGAGTGTAACGTCGAATAGTTATATTCAATTTGGAAATTTTGGTGATGGGTTTTAAATAACTGTGTTTGTGTGGATCCCCCATCTACCTTAATTCGCTTAAGGGATGTCTCGTCAGTCGACCCTCGTCCGGCGATTCCTGGGTCGCAAATACTAGTATAGTATTAGTAATATATAGTAGTAATGCGTGGAAAGCCTAAGAACGTAGCATTGTTCGTACAGCTCGTGCGTGAGGTAGTAATTGCAGCTTGCTGTTTGTTTGCCTTCCGTGTACACACAGCAGGCGTTTCTTTGTTCAGTCGAGGCTTTACTCCGTTTACATCTAATAGGCTCGCTTACTGTGATTCTCCTATACATTATGCTACCCCTATAAAAAAGATCTAGTCTGCCTCGTCCTAGCCTGCCCTAGTTACATATACGGTCATAACCTAGCCTGCCCACATATATATAACCGTTCGGACATTCTCATAGCTTCTGCTAAATATTAATTTGTTTTTCGTTGTTTCATTTAATACCGATTTAATTTTTAAAGTCGCGGAATTTGGAGTTCCATTGAGTCGCGAAAAGTTCATGAGTATTCTGTGCATGTGCTCCGAGTCCAAGAGTGTGGATTAATTGTGCACTTTGGAGTTATTGCGTTAGAAAATAATAACTAAAATACTTATTAAATTGACACACAACAAAATTTCGCGTTTAAACTCTCCCGTATGAGCCAAAAAATCAACAGGCCGGTATACGGTCTTCATGCAAGGATTACGTGTACATATTACTTGCGCTTTAGCATTCTCATGATACTATATAGCTCTCAGGTCTGCACCACTGATCTCTATAATATAATCGATTAATATAATAAGATTATATTATAGAGATCAGTGGTCTGCACGCTCAAAAGTTTTAAAGCACTTTACCTCGCGACAAGTTTTTTTCATTTGTTTACTTAATTTATTACCAAAACTGGTATTTGTGATAAGTCGTTTTGGTGACGGGTTTTGTTGCCTCGAATGCAAGAAACTATGTTGTTTAATAGAATACTCTTGACATTTTTCTAGGCGACCTTTTCCAAACTCCCCTAACAAAGAGACATATGCACGGTCAATAGCTTGAAAGCAGTAATTAGTTGACCTAGTGACACCTAGGTTAATTCATCTGTCAACGAACATGCATGAAATAAAAAGTAGGTGCTATGTTGATATATTTATATTAGTATTATTATATTAGTGCCTAGAAGGCAATAAATTATGTCATTAAATATTATTTCTCTACAAAAATTATCCGAGGGAGCATATACACCCCACCACCAATGACCATAAAGTCATGGAGAGTGTCATCGCTTTATGGTCGTCGCACCCAATGACGAAGCTAAGTGGGTCGTTGGTAAAATACAGGTGAGAATCTCTTGCATAGTTGGAGATTATGCCGTTTTCGGTGGAGAGGTGGCAGCACCGGCTCACCGTATCACGCGCGCCACGTAGTGGGGGAATCTAGAACTATGAATAGAAATAACATTCACAGTTTACCTGCTGGTACAGGAATCGCGTATTATGTTTAGTTTAGATTATTTTGCCAAATGGACATATTCTCAGTTATAGAGCCAACCGTTTTTTGCGGTGTTATTGATAGGTGGAAAGCTCGAAGGTGGGACCCAACAGCATTAGCGTCCATGCTACGCGAAAAGCATTTCAGAGTTCGTATTGGGATGAGAGATCATAGGCACCGAGGTAATAATGCGTGATGACTGGTGGGCCAAGGTATAACACTAACACTAATAGTAATAAGTAATATTACCAGTGCTACCGGCCCAAGGTCAAGGATATAAGAGCTGTCCACATTTGCACATTTGCACATTTCACACATTTGCGGAAACGAATTGTGGTCAGCGCTTATTGTTGTTGTTATTCGTTTATCCTCCTGCTTCACGAGGTCATGGTCACAATGTATACCCTCTTTGTATCCATGATGAACCATTGCTACCGGCAGTGGCGCTGAGAGGGTCTATGTCCCCCTGGGTACGGTCCGGTATACCGGAACACCCTGGTACTATCTAATATGCTGGACCGTACCTCGCCTACTCCACTAACAAGTCCAGATGAGACGGGATACTAGAGAAGCGTTGCCGAAAGGAGATGTTGATCCCAATTGCGCTGAAGCGCAGATCTTTCGCGCAGTTCCGCGGCAAGGCGCACGCGACCGCGGGAACGTCCTACGACAGTATGCAGCGCTGG